CCGTAGGTAGCGTGATTCGTTACTGGAACAGTGTGGAAACGCGAGGGGAATATCTCGAGGGAGATGTGACGGACATGCGTCCTATAGTAGCGGCCCAGACGCAGCAGCTTGTGATTGACAAAGCCTGCTTCGACGGCTTGACCAACGACGCTGCGGAACGTATGCTCATTGAGGTGAGTTCTCTATTGCTCAACTTGATATTTCATTTCGCGCTAGATCTGCCGTGTTTTGGTCACGGAAGGAATCTTTGTCTGCATTTCATCGAGCCGAAGAATGTTGACGCGCGCAGTGCAAAGAATCAGTGCTCGAAACCAGTGGCCACTCGGAAGGCTAGTTGAAGTCACTGAGGTGATGTTGAGCGTCTGTATGTTGCCTCAATCGAGTGTGTCAGGTGAAGGAATATCGAACTGACAAGGACGACGACTTTGTCTATGCACATGCTTATCAGAAGATGTTATAAAGCTACTATGCATGTTTGAGTGGCTATATAGACGTGATCGTATCCTTACTGTGGTTTTCGTTTCGATATGAGATGATGCTGGTGGTCGGATCACTGCGGGAATCGCTAGTGTTTTCGTGGTTGTGAAAGGCGACTCCGCTGGGAGGAGTGGAAGTATTTCGGCTGACGTCGGCCTCGGCTCGATACCAGGGTCCTTCGATCAACCAGGGCCTGTTCAATAGACTGATCTGATCGCATCGCAAATCTTACATCAGTGCTACTGTAGTCTAACTAAAAAACTAAGCGAAGTGCTGGTCTCCTTGCGCTGGATAGCTCGACCTTCTAAACAGCCAGCCTTTTATCATCGGTTCGCCGGCCGGGACCGGGAGAGAGAGAGTCTAACTAAGCCATACACACACACTTGGCCTGAGTACATCATTCGTTGTGCTATTGCGACCAGTACTCACTAATCACCATCAAAAACGAACGGGATGGGTGTTCATTCTGACCGTGAAGCACTTTGAATCTCAGTGCCACCGGAATCCATATTCCCAAACGACCATCGAAGAGAGCGATCATCATCATGACTCGTCTGGGTGAATGACTCGAGAGTGGCTTTTATAGGAAATTTTTGGCGCTAAACCATCCCCATTTGCCGCGAGTACCACGAGGCTTAGCCCTGAACGTCGTCGATGGCAATTTAGAGGTGAAACGGCCCTTGCAGTGTCAGACAAGGACTAGGAGCAGCGATCAACACAAGTTTAGCATCAAAGCTTGACATGACATTAATAATCGACTGGACATAGTCTGTTTATCAAGAGATGAATCACACAATGCTCGCGATGACTCACATGTGACGATGGTGACGAAATTACGTTGTAAGGACCTGCTGCCCAAGCAGGGAGCGACTTTGTTGAAAATGCCCAAGTTCGATGTACACTTTCGAGGAGAAAAGATGCATAACATGATAGCACTTACATTCTTTCCAAACGGGCATTGACGAGGAGATTCGAACGACTACTGGGTGAGTATTCTCGGGAGTGTCAGAATCCCACTAACCGGCAACGCAAGTCGAGACAAGCGAATGAATTGTACAGATCTCACTCAGAAGTCATTTCTGAGCAGAGGTCAACAACCGATCTACAAAAGTGTCTATCGAAGCAAACACTGTGATTGAATCACTCTCGCCTGCCGTCTTCGCGGCGGTAGGGCTAGTGGTCGCTAGGTGTGGCACTAGACCGATGAGGTACTTCAAAACCTCCTCGTCAGTATCAACATGCCAAGCAGGATGGAGCTGTCGAACCATATAAGCTCGGCCGTTGGCGGTGCTGCTACAGAGAACACGGTGCCCGGGAATACCAACTTTTCTTGAAATTTTCTCCTTGGCGGTGTTTTCCTCGTCGTCAGTTGCTGCAATCATCTCAACGACCAAATCGCAGAAGTCGGCAAGTCGCCTCAGACCAGTGTAGAGAGCCTCCGTTTGAGGACGGCCATCAAGAGAAATGCTAACGAGGATGCGACGACCATTGGCAGAGGGTTTTGCTCGGGCGTGAGTGGACGATGAAGGAGTTGCTACTGCGATGGTGCCATTCGAATGATGATAGTTGGGGCTTCGACTGACTCGCCAGAGTAGGAGGAAAACTGCTCCGAAAAGAAGAGTCCAAGCGGCAAGGCCGAAATTCAGCGATGCCAGAAGAGTTTGGGAGGCGCCGTGAAGAGCTTCGAAGATGCGAACCGTGATGAGGCCGCTCATTTGAGAGAATAAAAACGACTGAACAGTTTTTTTCTTGTGGGAACAGAATTATACACGAAGTCTCACATGGTAGATTTTACGAGTCAGAAGTGAAACGTTCATCAACCAGTCAAACAAGTAACCCGACAAGGACCGGGCGGAACAACGTGGAACGCCCGTTCCTGTGTCGGTCAACGGTGAGACACGTATATGCTCTTGGGAGTACGAAAATGACACTTCTTGAAGGTCTTGATTGAACTGTCGGTGCCACTATAGGCAGTTGAAGCGGAATTTCGTGTTCTACGCTGGGAAGCTCTTTGAAGCTGCCCGGAGGCTGTGAGGTTGACCGAGACGGAATTTCTCAACAGCAAAGCTGAGTTATAGACCGGGGATGAATTTTCACGTTTGGATGCCGTTTTTTGGGGTATTCCAGTCGGAGAAACATCTGAGTGGTCAACCGTCGCCGTGATAATTGTTCCTGAATTCGCTTCTAACGTAGACAAGAATTGTGTCGTCAAGAAAGGTGTCGTTATCGATTACAATGGCGAGCGCTAAAATTGCAGCGAATATCGATCACTCGATCGATTGGGAAACTTCGAGGCGCGAGCCAGTCTGCATACTTCTCAAGGCTTCTATCAAGCTTCGACTACTGCTACTATGGGACGCGTCCGCACTAAGACCGTTAAGCGCGCTGCTAGGCACATCGTTGAGAAGTACTACAGCAAGCTCACTCTCGACTTCCAGCTCAACAAGAAGATCTCTGAGGAGGTCGCCATCATCCCTTCTAAGAGGCTTAGGAACAAGATTGCTGGTTTCGTCACTCATTTGATGAAGCGCATTCAGAAGTGAGTGTTTTATGCAACTATTGCGACTATTATTATTATTTCTCTCTTCAGGGGACCTGTCCGTGGAATCTCCCTCAAGCTTCAGGAGGAGGAGCGCGAGCGTAAGATGGACTTCGTGCCTGAGAAGTCTGAGGTCGACACTGAGCACATCGTCGTCGATTCCGACACTGCTGAGATGCTCAAGTAAGGACTGCCGCCAAATGCGGGTTGCCAGCTAGGCGGAGGAAGGCTGGGTCAATGGCAACAACCCTAATTAGTTGGGTCGTAGTGGACGGTCGACATTATCTTGTCGAAGGCAGGCCCCCAGTGCACCACTGCTCCCTTCTTGCTGTAGTGCCTCTGATTATTGTGTTTCTTTTCTCAGGGAGCTCAACATGGATCAGCTTCCCAACATCGAGGTTTCCGATCGCATGGGCTATGCGCGTCGTCGTTACTAGATGCCTGGTGCCCACAAGTAGCCGTCGTTGGAAGTCCTTTTCCTCCTTTTACCCTGGTGTTGCTTTGCTAAACATTTTATAGTGTAGGAGATGCCCATGGTCGGTGAAGATAGACTCGATTAGCTCCATCGCGGAGCTTGGTAGAGTTGGTATGCTGAGACCTGATAAATGGGCGGAATAACTTTCTCTGTTGGTCTGTGATGAATGGCTCCTTTTTTGAACGCTTGGCTTCTGATTATCAATGAAGCGAACGAGCCGCCACTTCTGAGACCATTATAATGATCAATATGATGATACCCATCTGAATACTTGCTACGCTCGACCTCCGGGTGTGACGAATTTGCAACCACCAAGATCTCTGATTGCGATGAATGTTCTTACATAGACTACGAGAGTGTGCTCATGATGATACCCATTTGAATACTTGCTACGCTCGACCTCAGGGTGTGACGAATTTGCAACCACCAAGATCTCTGAAGTTCATCAATCTGTGCGCTGATCGGTTACTCTTTCACTCGGTCGCTAGAGCTAGCTGGCTGGGTTGCCGACCAATCGCAAGAATAACCCTGTGTTCGTCTTGAACCCCAAGGAACAGTAAGGGATCTGTTCAGTGGCGAATTCGGACGGAATATTCTAATGATTATTTACACTCTCCTTTCCTCTATTTTATAAGGTGGTGGCCTTCTGTGTTGCCAATCGATATAGGTGTCTCACGGTGTAGTTGGTCAGAGTCGAATGTGTCCTGTCTCGATATGAATCCATATTGCCGACTACACTATGTGGAATTTCTGATCGATTTTAAGGAAATCTCTTTGATTTCTGCACATCTCTTCCCTGATTTGAAATCATTGTGATCATTGGAGAATCAATCATCACTCATTCTGATTAGAAATTCATATTGAAATCAGTGATTTCAAAATGAATTTCTATAATTAGTGAATTGTGAATAATCATAGGTTGTGATTATAGTATATAATTAGTGAAAATTCCCGAACTCAGTTGAGGAAAGCGAAAATATGTTCGTCCAACACTGCGATGTGTTTTCTATCAACATTGTTGCGGTTTCACTGGTAGAATGATGGTAGACAGCTCTAGCATATAGTGAAAATAAGTACGACATAAGGCTCTTGTTTGCCACTCGGGAGTCTTAGTAGACACTGGACTCAACACGTGAGGAAGGCCACGTCTCGAATAGCTCGGTTGGAATCGTCGCGTCTCGAACACAGCGGAGCGAAGTGCTCTACGGTGTGCATCAGCTGTGTAGTTGCTCACCCAAAATTATTTCGGGAAATCTTAAGCTTGATTCTCTCCAGCTATCTCGTTTTTATCCAATTTTGTCTCGAGATTTGGCAGACACAGGGGAGTATAATAAACCGTTGTATTAATAAACTCATACACTATAATATACAATACAGTCGACTATAATATTGGAATATAAACAATACTATAACAGTATAATAAACGTGTTCAGTCGGCCCCTCTTGCGGATCACGAGCGCTCCCAGGGTTAGATTTCTCAGATGTATAATTCCATAAAAGACACTCGGAGTCGCATTCTATCTTTAATTGAACGATTCAGATGACAAAGAGAAAAACTTAAATTTGCTTTTTGTAGATTCTGCCGCTGTTCAAATTCCCATCACAATGACTCTTGAATGACTTGCACTCTCGTCAGGATATTCGGAAGGGGTGTCGGCCACTTCGGCCCCCGAGAGCTCTGCCTTTTCCTCGGTCCTACAGCCTCATTCAGACTCGCGGGTAAGACCTCAGCGATCACCTATAATACAGTACGTGTCAATTTGATATGATGCAAATGTATGCTATGATAATCGATTTGAAACTATATCGCATATACAATGTAGCGATGGCTATGAACATGTGCTGTACCCGTTTGGGACTGTGATGGTAGCGACAATTTGTTCACTATCATTCGTCCTTCAAAATAACACACATTTGCATATCAAATTGACACGTACTGTATGCTCGTCATAATCCTCAGCCACGTGTAAAGCGATGAAACAGTCAATACCACAAAGCCTCGTTGAGGAGACCACCGCACTGGAGTGGTTACAGTCACAGAATCTCAAGTCAATACCGGAGATCATATTCGACCATTTGATCAATCGCTTGCCTGTAAACGATTGCCTCGACAAAATATGTGAGTTGATAATTGTGCGCTTATCCTCACGCAATCTCCTTAGATGTGAGGACCATCGGTCTCTCATTTTCTGAAGGGGCTCGGCGCGCCACAGTGGCGTCAGAGGTTTCTTCTTTACCAATGTGAGAATAGACTACTGCTAGTGTGACACGCTCCATAAGGTACGATCTACTCGGTCCGATGCTGCACGAGTGGACCACCACAGCACGCCTCAGTCCTCGCGACATGGTTGAGGCATCCGGGGTGTGTTTCGATGAGCTTCTATGAAACAACGAATCGTCCCATCAGGTGCTCGTATGCACTGCTTTCGGCAACGACGGCATTCGAATTTTGAGACTTCTTCTGAGCCTTGGCGCCGAGCCCGATCACTCCCCTTCCCGCTGGCCCTACCTCCGTCCGGTCATCATCGCCTCTCGACGGTAAACCCCCGAATGAGTAGTTCACTATCGGAATCGTCTTCAGTGGTGATCGCGGAGTCCTCGACCTGCTGCTGAGTGTAGCAGACAGCTCGATAGTAAGTAGCTGTTCGCGGTTGTCTGACCTGCTGTTCTCAGGTCGCCTGCTCTGAATCGCGTCCGACTCCACCGCTGCTGCCTGCGGTTGCTTCCTGCGACCCACTTGTTTGCGAACTGCTATTAGCAAAGAAGGCCAATGTTAATGAAGCCAACAAGTGAGAACAACTCAGCTCCACGGTTTGGTGGTCGCGAGCATCGTGAGAAAAGATGCACATGTGCATGATGATAGTGACAATCAAGTCCGAAGAAATTTTGGTTTCTGTACACTATGTAAACTTCCATAATTAGTGGGGAAACTCTTGAGCTCAGCTGAGGAAAGCGAACATATATTCCATCACTGGCCGCGAGTATCATGTGGAGGCCTATTCCCGAGGGACAGAGGCGAATCTCACAGAAAGATATGCCCATTACTCTTCAGGTTGACGGGCATGACGCCCCTGCACGTGGCAACGCGATGTTCGAGTAAACGCATGTGTGAGTTTCTCCTCCACCGCGGCGCTGATGCTCATCGACTTGATATCACCGGTAAATCGGCGCTGGACGAGGCTGACGAAATTGAGGTTGATTCGGTAGGCTGATGACTTACCATATTTCGTCAGTATTGGTTCCATCAGGTGGTCGAGATTATACAAGCATTTTCACCGTCTTTTTCATACCTTGGTTGCTTGGGACAACGGAGACAAGCACGACTTCAACACGATTTTATGTAACTTCAAGCGGAGCAAATTGACATGCATCCAAGCATGGTGATTGTTCACTACAGCGTTTAAGTGTTAGTTGCGTTATCAAGCATAGTATCACAACGTGGCAATACCCCCCTAACACGAGGATAACCTCTGTGATTCAACTTGTTCCTTCAAGTTCACCAAACAATTGACTTCTGTACAGCACAGATACTCTTATGTCGAACAAACATGCGATTGATATTCGCGATGTTGACCCATACCTCCATCTTCCCATGGTCGAGACTGTTCAACACAAGGCAGTTATTGTCAGGCGACGGTGACATGGCCAAACCCGTCGCAATTGGATTCTAATCGAGTATACCGTAGTTCTCTTAGTGAACAAAAAAGAGTGAAACTTTCAGCTATCTCCAGCCCTCGGGGGATATAAGGTGAGTTTTGAAAACAGCCAAGGCTTGAGGAGCTCGACCGACAGAATGATAACATTTTTGATAACAAAGACAATATACCCTGCTTCAAAATAATGTGGCAATTTTTCAGCTGTGCCCCCAGCTGGATCGAAATGGTCAAATATATGATCTACTTCCACAGAGCTGACCCGTCTATCGACTACCTAGTCGATGAAGGCTATTAAACGATAATCAGGATATTTGCGGCGGGTGAACTTGTCGTAGTGTCAATGACTGCATAGGTCATAACAGCCTCGCACAAATACACCCAAGCCACGGACTGGTAGATGTTTAACTGGAAGGAGAGGGATTGGTAGGAGATGGACTTGCACAAGATGGAGTGGTAGGAGACGGGCTCGTAGGGCCGGTAGTGCTTGAAGTGGTCCTGCTTGTGATTGGCGGGCAAGTGCAGTCCTTAGTAGTATTCAGATGGCAATGACCTCGACCATATTCGAAGTTCTGGCAGTAGTCCCCGCGACTGTCACAGTCAGGAGATCTACAATCTCGCTTTCCAGGATCTGGTCCGGCCGTGATATCACAATAGCAAGGTTGGTGAATATGTAGGTGGCAGGCCCCTTTGCCTTTAGCAACGTTCTTGCAGTAGTCGCCAGCCGATGAGCAATTGGTTGACAGGCAAGAATGCCCATGGGGAGTCGGGGTTGTGGTACTTGTCGGGGCCGACCCTGTGGTGGTCGATAACGCGCCCGTTGTAGTGCTGCAAGGAGCGGCGGTAGTCGTGGATGTGGTCGGCCCTGGAGCAGTCGTCGGACCCGTTGTAGTGCTGCCAGGGGCAGTCGATGGACCCGTTGTAGTGCTGCAAGGAGCGGCGGTAGTCGTGGATGTGGTCGGCCCTGGAGCAGTCGTCGGACCCGTTGTAGTGCTGCCAGGGGCAGTCGATGGACCCGTTGTAGTGCTGCAAGGAGCGGCGGTAGTCGTGGATGTGGTCGGCCCTGGAGCAGTCGTCGGACCCGTTGTAGTGCTGCCAGGGGCAGTCGATGGACCCGTTGTAGTGCTGCAAGGAGATGGAGTGGTAGGAGACGGGCTCGTAGGACCGGTAGTGCTTGAAGTGGTCGTGCTTGTGATTGGCGGGCAAGTGCAGTCCTTAGTAGTATTCAGATGGCAATGACCTCGACCATATTCGAAGTTCTGGCAGTAGTCCCCGAACCTATCACAGTCAGGAGATCTACAATCTCGCTTTCCAGGATCTGGTCCGGCCGTGATATCACAATAGCAAGGTTGGTGAATATGTAGGTGGCAGGCCCCTTTGCCTTTAGCAACGTTCTTGCAGTAGTCGCCATTCGATGAGCAGTTGGTTGACGGGCAAGAATACCCATGGGGAGTCGGGGTTGTGGTACTTGTCGTGGCCGACCCTGTGGTGGTCGATAACGCGCCCGTTGTAGTGCTGCCAGGAGCGGCGGTAGTCGTGGATGTGGTCGGCCCTGGAGCAGTCGTCGGACCCGTTGTAGAGCTGCCAGGGGCAGTCGATGGACCCGTTGTAGTGCTGCCAGGGGCAGGGGTACTGCTCGCAGGCTGGGCTGTTGTAGTTGTCCCACCACCATTATTCGAACAACCACTAAACGAGGCCATCAAAAGGGCCGCCACAACGCAGATGAGAGAGGTATTTCGCATGTGAATGTGCGGAAAATAACTATCAGAAAAGCTCATCAGACTCACCGAGCAATCATCAGCGATCCTGCAACAACTTCGTGCATTAGCCTACATGCGAGGCAAGCGTGGCACCCGTCCAATAAACGAACTCTAATAGGCGTGATCCATTACACCGAGGGATGCTGGACCGCGTCGGAAAGACTCCCGTGGGGCACAGACCCGATCACGAATCATCAACGGTTACGCTCGATGCCATGAAACGAGCATCCTCGAAGGGTGGACACATGATATCCTTGGAAAACACTCAGTAAGCGCCTTCTGCGACTTGAGCACTGCCGCACACGCCGCAAGAATCGTCGGCTGGCGAGCTTCCTCGAATGCTTACAAGCTTCCTCGGATACTTATAAGCTCCCTTGATAGTTATATAGCCTCGAGCGCTAACATAATGATGTGGACGAAGGGTGGTGACTCGCGCTCTATAACAAGGCTTGCTCTGTGTGGCAATGCACGCATGCACCTCCATCCAGCTTGGGGCGCGTGCGCCTCCATCGGATGGAGTCCATCCAGCTTGGCACGCATGCGCACGTGCTTATCGTAAGACAAAACTCGGCTTGATTGCTGCCATACCATATAATATTGATACCATATGAGTCTGTGTCGTTGTTGGTTCGCTTGGTGTTGGGCACCTGCTTTGCCCAAAGCTTCAACATATGCCATGATGGCATCAGCGCGCGCCAGGGGTGGGGGCCCCTGAGAGAGCGCGCCCAAACCTTTCACGCAATCGCGCAGGTGCGACCTGCCTGTTGAATAGGGCTGGAAATGAAAAAGCTAAATTTAAATGGCCCGTGGAAATCGGCTGATTATCCGTGTACACATAGATCTCTACGCTAATGGGTGTCCTCTCAAGTATGGTTGAAACTGAAATCCTGTGACCAGAGATTGGTATTGAAATGTTCGGATCCACATGTTGATGCGAGCGTGTGGCGCGCGCAAAAGTATCGTCAGAGCAGTTTTACGGGAGATAGGAGATTGATTCGATGAATCGGGTTCTGAGATCTTCGCCTATTAGTGGTACAGTAATGCATGGGCATGACATGTTCCATGGTATATGCGAACTCACGCTCTGGTGTAATGAATTTCATATTTTTGTATTCAACTGGTGTCTTTGGTTGCACATGCTCCATTTTCCTAGAGCATCTATCTCATGCTGGAGACTCCAACGCTCCAGCGCGGAATGTTGTGGATGGCCTGTGTTCGATACATGGCTCAAGTGTTATAACTCTATTGGTGTTGTTCAGTTCAAACTGATTGTGTTTGCAATGTGGGAAATGATGCATGGGGAGGTGGTAATATATGGGCAGTGATATACGGACGATAATATGCTACACAAACATACTCCATTGACATAGTGTGATACATCATTACTGAATATTCTCGAGAACTTTGAGTTATACAATTCTCGTAACGGATTCCACACTTGTGCGGTTAAATTGACCTCATATTGCGGTTTTCGTTCGAGCCAGATGGCTCGCGAAAACCGCCTCCTTTCTCTCTCGCTAAAGTAACCTTTGGGGGTTAGATCCGGGATTTGCGGACCGCGAACATCCGTCATTGCAAATTTTTGTGCCACGGGCTGGCTAACGAGCTTCTCTAAAGAGGTTCAAAATAGTGTATCTGATGGGACATACCGTATGTGAATTGATCACTGATGAGCAACTGAAATTTGCCAACTGAGGCCGATTCCTTAATTTTTCTGGCAGCAGGTCTACTTGGTGTTGGGCACCTGCTTTGCCCAAAGCTTCAACATATGCCATGATGGCATCAGCGCGCGCCAGGGGTGGGGGCCCCTGAGAGAGCGCGCCCAAACCTTTCACGCAATCGCGCAGGTGCGACCTGCCTATTGAATAGGGCTGGAAATGAAAAAGCTAAATTTAAATGGCCCGTGGAAATCGGCTGATTATCCGTGTACACATAGATCTCTACGCTAATGGGTGTCCTCTCAAGTATGGTTGAAACTGAAATCCTGTGACCAGAGATTGGTCTTGAAATGTTCGAATCCACATGTTGATGCGTACGTATGGCGCGCGCAAAAGTATCGTCAGAGCAGTTTTACGGGAGATAGGAGATTGATTCGATGAATCGGGTTCTGAGATCTTCGCCTATTAGTGGTACAGTAATGCATGGGCATTATATGGTCCATGGTATATGCGAACTCACGCTCTGGTGTAATGAATTTCATATTTTTGTATTCAACTGGTGTCTTTGGTTGCACATGCTCCATTTTCCTAGAGCATCTATCTCATGCTGGAGACTCCAACGCTCCAGCGTGGAATGTTGTGGATGGCCTGTGTTCGATACATGGCTCAAGTGCTATAACTCTATTGGTGTTGTTCAGTTCATACTGATTGTGTTTGCAATGTGGAGAATGATGTATGAGGAGGTGGTAATATATGGCAGTGACATACGGACGATAATATGCTACACAAACATACTCCATCGACATAGTGCGATACATCGTTACTGAATATTCTCGAGAAGTTTGAGTTATACAATTCCCGTAACGGATCCCACACTTGTGCGGTTAGATTGAACCTCATATTGCGGTTTTCGTTCGAGCCGAAGGCTCGCGAAAACCGCCTCCTTTCCCCCTCACTAAGATAACCTTTGGAGGTTAGATTCGCGATTCGCGGACCGCGAACATTCGTCATTGGAAAACTTTCTTCCATGTGCTAGCTAACGAGGTTCTCTAAAGAGGTTTAAAATAGTGTATCTGATGGGGCATACCGTATGTGAATTGATCACTAATGAGCAACTGAAATTTCCCGACTGAGGCCGATTCTCTCATTTTTCTGGCAGCAGGTCTACTTGGATCGCTGTATTCTTTCTTTCTGAGTGGGTAAAGCAGGTCCCTTGATGAGTTGGATGATTGTGGATCTGCTCATGGCAGAGACCATGGCTCCACTCCCCATCGGGACTTCGCGCCATCATTTCATGGCGGGATCATTTCATGGCCTAGGTTCGTCGAGTACGACGAGTGGGCGGAAATGCGATGAGCGAGGTGATTTGCATCGGATTATCCACCACACATCGCGCGCACAAGGAGACAGCCTCAGCACAAGGACCTCTTAAAGCCGTCCTTAAAAGCCGTCTCGAAGCACAAGGACCCGCGGAATTTTTCCGGGGGTAAAATCCTGAACTTTCTCCGTCCTTCTACTTGGCAGAAAAGCGTATCAACAGCATCATAATGCAGCCGACTAACAGTCGAAGAAGGCCCAAGCCAAATGTGTCTCTCCAACGGGCCGTCAAGCTTAGCGTCTATTCTCCCCAGATCGCAGCGACGGCCTATGTAGTCAGCCAGGAATTTCCAAGACTTAGAACCATTGCCAGCGCCGTCAGCATAAAAGCGATCGATGTTAGCAATAAAGTCAGAAAGGGAAATCCTCATTCTTCGTCCCGAAACAGCAAATACGACGGCACCATTTTCCACTGGGCCGGCAACCCAATCTCTCATCTGTTCCAACCACTTGTCAGATTTGTTCGCTTGAAGTGGAGCGACCGAAACCGTCTTGTTGCCTACTGAGTGAATCGCATACTTGCTTCGAGTTGAAGTATCGCAAGAGGGTCGAGATGAGGCATCCGAAGACCCTTGACGATAACAGGCGTGCTAGTCGCTGCGAAATTGGACAATTGTTTTGCTGACAATCTGTCGGCGCATAGTGTTGGTATATCAACGAGCATGGTGCCTCCAGTACGACATCATCAACTGAGGGAGATGCTGGTTATCGCTCTCCCAATCCCCCGTAGCACACGATGTGTCTCCCTCGGGCGAAGAAAGTCTACTTCGATTGAGTACAATCAGGCTGCAGCCACATAAGGCGTTCCGGGAACGCCTTATGAGGCTGCAGCCTGATAGCAGGGGACCCCTGCTATTATATCCAGTATAGTATTATCTCAATGGGCAAATTACTAGCAGAGAGATAAACAGAGTTGTTATGTCACTCGGGAGAGTTAATAGACATTGCACTCAACACGTGAGGAGGGCCACGTCTCAAATCCATAGATTTCGTGTTGGAGTCGTCGCATTTCCGAAACAACGGAGGATCGAAGTGCTCCACGATGTGCATCAAGAGTGACAACCTCACATTTCCGATCACATAAATTGCAATGGCATGCGGTCGTTTTTTAGTAAAACCGTCGACTCGACAGCCCCGGTCTCCTCACCGATTCGCAATTGCTCGCCTGTTCAGTACTGAACAAGTACTGTTGCAGACTCTGCAGTGCAGAGTACACCCTAGTGATATGAAAAACACTAGTGAAAAACATATTTCACGACTACTGCATATGACCCCCAATATCGCGTCTTACACCGAGTTCACGTAAAACGGGTGAAACTCCAGTGATTTCGTAATCGCATATTTTACGCGTGAAAAACGATCAAGTTCACTATTTCTACACACGCAGTAACATCCACTACTTCTATTCATCAATCTGTTGAAACTAAATCCATACATTAGTAATTTCGGCCGAATTTGTTATTCACACATTATACAGGTGACCTTTACCAGGGCATGGTCGCTCATTTCGTAGCTGCTGAGTATACTGGTAAAAAGTGCTGCTCTAGAAAAGATTACTCCTCTACATATCTTGTTATTCGAAGTATTCATATAAAACAATGTTTTAAAAACATATTAAAGTCATACTTAAAGCTAATACTAAGCTAAAGTCATACTAAAGCTGTAGTAGTAGTTGGCTCCACTGGTGTGTTGACCACCTGATCTTCAAATGCTGATCCCATTCTCATGTAGTAGTAGAGTTGGATACTGAATCCCGACCTCCAAACCTCATCAGTAGCCACGATCAGATAAACGGATCAACATGACCAGTTAGTGAGTCAAGATACAACACGGCAACTTGAAAATACTGATAC